TGAACTTTTTGCGTCAAAATGAACACAATATATCATATGCCTCCATGTACTACATAGTTTCCATCATCCAATGTTTGAATATAACTCCTGTAGCAATAGCAAAGCAAGGTGGATCTGTAGTTTGAAGCAGGATGCTCATTGCTTTGTTTGACTAAGTTCTATAAGTTCGTACAAAATGTTCTGATGAGATTCTTATCCAGCATGTCTTGTTGGAATGATGATGTAAGGGTTGATTTCAATCTAACTTATTGATGTAGATGTGGAATTGATGAGGTTCTCCTTCTTTTAATATTTTTTGCCTTCAATAATATGCTGTAACTGCCTTATAGAGAACAAGGTATGTTGCCACATTTTGTTAATTTCATACTATATATTCATGACGGAAATGATATATATTTGATAATATATATAAAGAAGACAAGGATTTCATTTTTGACATCAATACTGTGAAGCTATCATTGAAACTGTAAGTCACGATTAGAAAGTCACATTTGATCGAAATAGATATAGATTTCATAACTTAATTAACAGGAGATTGTGGCATTGTGATGTATATATATATAGGAAAAACATTTTTTCATATTGCATAAGGATTCAATTCTCATGTTGTGACCTTTCGATTTACGTGTAATTTTTTTTTTTTTTTTTAATAAATATGGAGTTCACCACTAGTTGAGTCACAACATGAGAATTCAATTCTCATGCAATATAAAAAAATCAAATCTTATTTATATATATATATATATATATAAAAGCACATCATTTTTATCTCAATGCTTGCTTTTTGATTTCTATTATATTATTTACTTTTGACTGATAATTAACTCATAATTTGCATGTAGTCAGAAAAGAAACGTGATATGAGTATATTTTAACCTGCGCTCCACTCAGTGTGCTAGTTTTCTTTCTAAGCTTCGAGCTTAGAATGCTATTTCTCTACAAATTCGACATTCCCCTTAATTAGAGAGCTTCTTTCTCCTTTTTTGAGATATAAGAAATCGTAAATTTTGTTTCTTTTATGGTAATAAAGAAAATAAACAAGTCATTAGGATTGATCTAGTAGAGAAGAGTTTAGATAGATTGTATAAGATTGTAGGGTCAAATCTCAATATCACCATTATATAAAACAATAATAATAAACAAGGGTTTGATGTTTGTCCTTTCAAGGACATAAGTTATATCATTTTAGGAGAGAGATAGACACAAGGAATAGAAATTATGAAGGAGAAAGTGCGTGGTTTATTTTTAATTTAAATTTTAAATAAAAAAATATTATTTTATGTCTATCTTTCTAAATAACACAATTTTATATCATTTAAAATGACAAACCCTTCTCCCAATCAACAATGATATTTACACAATCATCCAAGACAAATTATTATCTGTACAAAGCCAAAAATTCCAAATGAATTTGAGTAGTGGGCTAAATTGGCCACATTTTATGTCTTCTTGGCTATTATCAAGTGCGGGTTTTTGGTCCCTGTGTATTGTACGTTATGGTCCCAGTGTATGTCATGCTGCTAGGTGTATATGCGGCAGACATGCAACTCAAAGGACTGTCTTGGGACCCATGCACAAGATCTCCTTGGACAGCAAAATCAAACCTATTTTCAGAAAATTATAATAAAAGCCTTTTTTATATACTTTTATTTTAGTTCGGTTTTTCATGATATAATTTAATTAGTTTCATCTGATTTATACGACATTGGTATAATTTTTTTTTTATCAGTACAGTATTTCATATCTATTAAATAAAGATAAATAATCGTTAAATATTTGATATTTTTAATTTAATAATATACTTTATCAGACAAATTTATGCAGTATAAGATAAATTAAAACTAATATGATTTTATTATGCATAATATACATTTTACAAATTTTTAATTTAACAATGAATTGGATAGGGAATTTATATCATTAAAAAGATTTACTAAAAACTTATAAAGGAAAATTTTCACTTTAGTGTTCAACTTTTTATTAGAATGCATGTGAATATTTATTTACATGGGTTTATTAACGTGTGCCGTTAGCTCACATGTTAAGAAATTAAAAATAATATTTATTAATTTTTAGTAAATCATCTTATCGACTGAATAAAAAATATTAAAGACTAATTAAAATTTTATTTTAAATTTCTTAATTCTATTTCATAAGAACACACATTAAGAAAACCTATTTACATTGTTATATAATATATAAGACTTCTAAATACATTTGAATAATCATAATAAAAATCTTGCATACTCATTGAATTTCATGTATATAATTATATGTGTGTGTGTGTGTGTGGGGGGGGGGGGGGGGCACGTTGTAACTGTGAGCAGGTCTAAATATCAAAAGCTTACACAGTTCATAAATCATTATGAAACTCTCATAGGACTTTATGTCCTAGTCCACTCATTTTGATGCCCCTTAGGTTCTGATCTCTGATAATTTCTTCGGTGTTACTTTTAGTGTATTTTTTCATTTATAATATAACACATATATTAATTTTTGTTAAATTACTCTTTTATCTGATATTAAAATAAATTATTTAATAAAAATAAAACATGTAATGAGTGAAAGATACATTGAAAACTGTATATGTAACACTGAATAAATTTTGCTGATCTCTCCTCTCAATCTCACTGTATTCCTCCATGTTCTCTCTGACCCAACTCTCGCCTCAAAAATCTATCAATCAGTTTTTTTTTTTTTTTAAAAAAAAAAAAACTATCAATCCCTCGTCTTCAGCGCTATGTTGTCCTTATTTGAAGTTTTCTCCAATGTTCTTTGATGCGGATTCGGCGATGAAATATGTGTCGATGTAAAAAATTTCAAAACACTCACTTCGTCTCCTACAACTACAAGTTGCGGGGAAAACTTTTTTTTTATACAACTTTTTATCCTTTTAAATGGTATAAATTGTATCATTTTAAAGGAAATAAGTTATGTTCTTTTAGCTATTTATAATACATAATTATAATATTAAAATTATATTTTTTTCACTTTCTACATCAGTCAATAACTTTTGAAGAGAGAAAAAAAGTACAACTTTAATATTATAATCAGCTTATATAATGATTCAAAATTCGAGTCCCAGAAGATACAGTTATGTGAGTACATAGTTATAAAGTATTAAAATGATATAACTTATATTCTTTAAAATGATAAATCGTTTTCCCCAAGTGGGAACAGTAAGAATAATGTTGCTGGAAAAATAAATTAAGTCCGGCTTACCCCTCGATAATTATGCAACAATTTATTTTTTTATGTGTTTTGTAATTGGCCCCACTACAATGTGTATGTGGTAGCACCCTTCTCCCATTGCATGACAAACAAAAAGCCCTTAATTATTTATAGGCTTTAATATTTTTACCATGAATATAAATAAATTATCTATATTCAGTCTTAAAATAACGTCGTTTTGTTTGAAAAATTAAAAAATTATAATGAGAAAGACTATTATAACCTATAATTACAAAAATACCTTGATTTCCACCCCGAAACGACATCGTTTTGAACTCAATGTAAATAACTTATTTATATTGACCGCAGAAAAATCGAACCCTTATTTATATATAACAAATTGATAAACGTTTTTTCCTCGCAAAATACAAGTATAACAAAATATATATATATATATATATATATATATATATATATATATATATATATAAGCACTAAATTTGGACACCCGAATAAAAAGTTATAGCTTTCCAAAATTTTATTGTAAAATTTTCAAAATTTTGTAATGCAAATGGGTTTTTTGATACCCACAACCACAAAGCTCCTACTCAGTCCCTAGAGTCAAATCCAATATTATGAGTATATGATTATAGAAACTTGTTTAATCCAAAAAATCTCGTGAAAAAAATTTTAATCGGAAAATTTCGGAAGGCTATAACTTTTGACTTGGGTGTTCGAATCAGATACTTTTTTTTTATTTCACATAACTTTTTGATAGCTACGCGTTGGCAAATTCTTGCGAGGAATTTGGTCACCATTTACTCGAGACAGGACCCATATACGCATATACTCGAGTATATGGTGTCATACTCGAGTATTAAGGTCATGTACTCGAGTATTTACTTTTCCATGCAATATACTCAAGTATAAAGATCTTGTACTCGAGTACATAGCTCGGTCAATGGTCAAACAGAAGGGTGGAATGTTTTGGAACGGGAGCAAAGTAATATTTTTTAATTTAATTAGGGGCACTATAGTCAAAATGGCTAAGATTTTGGCTCAAATTCAAAAAACCCTTCCAATTACGAGTTATTTGTAGAAAATCTCTCCATTTTTTGAGATTTAAAGAGTCTTATTAACAAATTTCAAAACAAAAGATTTTCTGCAAATAAGCCATAGAGGATATTTATTGAATTTTAGCCTAAGATTTTAAACGGATTATATTACTTATGTACAATCATCTCTCTGACAAGTTAAAAAGGTGAAATAAATCAATTACAAAGATGAGCCCATCAAGAATATTTAGCTGAAAAGATCAAGAGTTTGTGTAACTTTGCTACAGTTAATAAGTAATAATCTCGTGCAAAGGAAAAGCAACAATCTCAATTATAGCACATCTAGTTTTGATGTATACATTGCTGAGAAATTCCAAGGTAGACAGTGGAATAACTAAGTGCAAATGAAAACGACATTCAGTACTTGTATGGTTTATGTACAACAATTAACCGTTGGCTGGATCCATTGTCATAAGGTGTACTAGGTTCAACTACATTTCTTATAAAACCGCAATTACGTATCTTAGAGCGAACAGGGTTTGTTCAGCGAATTTCATAGTAGACTGTAAGCAAAATCTCACAAGTGCTTGCAACTCAAAATCTAAATAAAATTGCGCCTCAATCAAGCACTAAAATAAATAGTATTGACAAGAACTTTAGAGACCTTACTATACTATGGAAAATCGTAAGAAACAAAATCCCTCAAGCGAAAAAGCGTTGAACAAAAATGTGGGGTGAGTTTGTCAAGACTTCGAGTAAAGAACGAATGTCCTGCTACCTAAGAGGAGCACCAGAAAGGATGGGACCTTGGATCGCCGAACTACCCTTTCTTATTGCCGGAATACTAAGGGAACGTTTTCTCAATCTGGCTTTGCCAGATGGTGACAGTCTCCGTTCACTCTTTTCCATAAGGAAAGAGGAATAAGAGCACAGGGTCTCTGGCACTGGCTCACTTCTAGTTCTAATGAAGAGATCCAGATTTTGACGATACTTATTCCCTTGCAACTTAGTTCCGAACTCCCCGGGAACAGCAACAACCTTATCCTTTAACTCCTCATCGTCATCTGACCAATAGCCATTTTCCAGCACATCTTGCATTGCTAGATCATCATACTCTTCGTCAGATTTTGTAGATTCCTCATCAACTGAGCCTACCTGTACAACAACAAAATAAAAATTAAACATGACCCAAAACATAGTTTCATACCATAACAACTCAATTAAGCTCTGCCATTTGCAAAATTTCACAAATGTACGTGCCTGGAAAGGCAACTGAGTCATTCACTGCCAATCGTCAATTTACTGACTGTGCTAGCATGGGCAGTACCAAAGGCAACCCAAAAGGTTTGGAACTCTACTCGCGTAAATTTCATCACATATTCAGACATTTCAACTAGGTAAATCATTTAAGCCAATACACAAGTCTACCTCCTCATGGATATGTTTGTCACCATCGTCACTGAAATCATCATCACTGCCCACCTCTAGTTGATCATCAATCTCTTCATCACTACCATGCACTGAAAGCTCCTCCTTGAGCTAAAAAATTATACCAAAGAAAAATAAATAAATGAGGGAATTAATTTCATTAATGTCAATTTTTTCCCATTTGACATTAATAAGCCATTAATTTTCATGTTGAACAGAGACCAACAATACTTTCAAGTTTACCTCCTTCGCGGGTACATCAGACAGCCTTGGTGAACTACAGCATGAGGATAGATATCTACTACCCGTATCAGTCCCATCAGCTCTTGATTCATCAACACTTCCAGCACGACTAGTGCCACCGTCACTGGGCCATGCACTGATTCCATACAAACCAAACTGAAGGTTTACAGGTTCTGCCTTGCCAATCCGCAACGGTCCATACATTGGATTTCCAATTCCATTCTCTGGTCCATAACCCAATATAGGCTTCCCAGTACTGTCAACTGCATTAACTGGCCAAGCCTTTGCCACAGACCCATCAGTATTTACAAGAGCCATAAGATGCCTTGAAGAACCTTGCCTCTGGATCAATTGGAACATTCCTTTTGAGCTCAAAGAATTGGCAGCACATTGATTTCTATATTCCTCATCCACAACAGTTACAGTATTTCTAATAGGATCATATAGTTGTTCCCCAGCTTCCCGCTTACGAAGACAACTGAAGACAGTAGCATGGATGGCTGCCACACTCTTATCAACATTTGTATTGTTTATTTTGGGAACTAAATGCTTGTCAGCCCGTTTACAGAGATAATCCTGGATTGTTCTGATATTTCGGATATACTTTACATATTTGTTTTTAGCTGGGTCCAGCGTCATATACTTCGCACGTACAGCAAAACGTTCCATGTGCTTATCCTCATTTGTAATGTATATCATGAAAGGTATGATTGAAGGATGTTTCTTCATAAGCCCCATCTGAATGAGATCAAGTTAGGGTTGTTATGTAAAGATGAAAATAACACATAATTGACATACAAAAGGAAAGAAGAAACACTGAAGGATCCAATAAAGAAAATCAGACATACAACAAAGTTGAGGCTCAAGTGAACACCCTCAACAACAACAGACTCTTTTCGTTCTTCCCAGGCAGTGATTAACCTATCAAGACTGTCAATCACCATCTCACTCTGTGCCTTAAATCCTTCAACAGCCATTTGTTTTGCATTTAGCAGTTCAGTAGTACCAGAGCCAACCTCCATCGTCCGAATATCAGATTTACTACAGTTATGACCCTCGGTTACTTCATCCATTGGAATCGAATGTGACACACCAGCCAACTTTTTCGCTTTCCTTCTGGCCTTTGCATCTGCAACAGCAACAGGATCCAAACACTCGCCCGCATGGTAGGTAGAGGCCCATAACAAGGGGTTTTCCTTCTCGTTAGCAAAACTTCTCATCATGTGCCTAATAGAATCAGTTGATACCACTGTTGTGATTCCCAACCTACTACCCTGAAGTTAGGATATAAATAATACTGAAGTTATTGAACTGTAAGATATAAATGGTACTCATTTTCAATTTCATTATTCTCTACAAGTTACATATCCTACCACAAATTAGGTAAAAACTGGCATTACATAATTGTAATTGCAAAAAGACAACAACTTCTGTATGCAAAGATACCAGCAATGCAGACAATGTGGATTTGCCACAGCCACTAGTGCCACACAACAGTACTGTCACAGATTCCTTCCGTTCTCGGATCCTGCCACCAAACAAAATAATCACACATACAAGAGGGAAAATTGTACTGTATTTTACAAGATTTCCTCCTCACAACCAATTATAAGTGTAAAATTTAACTAAAATTGTAGTGAGTTACAAATGCTAATATTAAAACTCAGCAATTTCACCCAGAAGGGAAAAAGGTTTTCTACAAAGGAAAAAACATGAACGGACATTCTGTCTGTCTAGATTTTGTTGTTAAATAGAACATAAGTAGAGTCAGAAAATATTTACAATAAAACAAACACCAGAAATAATGTGAAATTGTTTAACCCGGCAACTACAATCAAAACAGCTTGCACATCATTTAAAAAATTGAGAGATCAATCATTCTCCCTTCATTAAGATTCTTGAAAATCAATCCAGATTCCACATAAAATAAAAAGGCTGTTATTTCAAACATCAGAGTGTGACAGCAATTTAGAGATGAGTTGCAGAGTATATTCAGAGGCAACATTAAAAAAAATTGTAGCAGCATATCTTGGGATACCATATGCTTTAAACACTGATTCTGATTGCTCTTTCTGCATATAGATTCCATGTTAATGGCTAAAAATTACACCTAGCTTGATCCAGACAGATATTAAAAGGAATGTAGTTGTGTGAACATGATAGAGCTGTAAATTCAAGCATCTAAATGCAACCAGGTGAGGATACACTCTTTATTTTTCCATGACTATGATGAGGGGGCAAAAAAGCATAAGAATTTAAAATGGAAGCAATTTTGTCATCGTAAAAAGCATCTTTACATCTTTCCACAAACGCTATAAAAAAATATTTCTTTTCTGCTTCTACTTTTTCTTCCTAGAAGAAGCATCAATTTCTTACTTCAAAAGCAGATTTTATGCTTCTGTTGTCACAAAAGCATTTTATTTATAATATGACAAATAACAGATATGGAATTGAAAATGTATATGAATGTAGACTAATGTTGCTAGTCAATAAAAATCTTGACCATAAAAAATCCATCCATGGCAAACCATCTCTAACCATATCACTTCAGATTCCCTTGCATCAGAGCAGATGCTACAACCATAGTCATTTTTTCCTTCTATTCCAGTTAATGTAGATCAAAATAGTTGCCATAAAGATATAATCGATACCATCCGTACCTGCAGGCTAGCATCAAGTCTGCTCTCTGGTTGGGACCCAAATACTTGTACTCAGCCAGAGCATCACAGACAATATCTAGAAAACTTTCTCTCCGAATAAATGCAGTAGTACGCCTTTTGTACAACTCAAATGGTACACTCTTACTTCCACAATCTTTCCCTAAAAGTAAAGGGTTGCCTAAGTCTGTTTTACCCAGGCAAAGGGCAGCTTCATGGCAATCTTTTCTCACAATATTTTCCTTAGGAGCATCAAGATCTGATAAAATCATTCCTTCAGGCTGCAAAGCATTAGTAGAACTCCCACTCCTTGTGAGTTCAAACACTCTTTGGCTGATCTGATAAGAGGAAAACATAGTCAAATAACATAATACAAAAGTTCAGAAAAAGACATGTTTAATAGAAGGGGGAGATTATACTTACCAGTTACCACCTCTTACCACCAATCTTGTTATCATTAGATCAAAATCAAATCAACGGTTATAAAATGACATCAAGTGAGAATCATTAATTTGATTTTGATCCAATGATAACAAGAATGGTGGTAAAAGGTGGTAAGTATAACTTATCCCTTAACGGAAATATGAGGACTAACTTTCAATTAAAGGTAGTTTAGACATTAAACATTACAATTAAATTGGTAGATGCCATATAATGACCACTAACCGTATTATTTATAGTATAAACCAATTAAAAAAAAATCATTTATCAAGCATTCCTTTGCATTATAAGTAACTTTAAAGCAACGTAAATTTCCCTTTATAGCTTGACATAACCCACTTTTGTCTATTGAAGTGAGTAATATTGTAAAAAAAGATCACAATCGAGCCACAATAATTACTCAACCATGAAAACTCGTGTTAATTGCAACATCTTTCCCTAAAAGATAATAAATTAATAACAAGAAGATTGGAGAAAAAGATGAACTCGGTATGCTTATTAAACCCTTCCATAGCTTTACGAAGCACACATCAAATATTGTTGTCGTCATCTCCATAGGCACACACAACATACGGAGACCAGATAATAAAATAGATCACAGTCCAAACGACGAAAAAACACCATCAAAGTTAACAAAATAGCGCTTGTTCACATTGATAACACAACTAAAACGTTTCAACAGTTTCAGATTATTCAGATAATAAAGATACAACACAAGATATACACATCAACCAACTAAAATACTCGCTTATCAAATCACAATGATCGATCAAGATGAAACGAGAAAATTTAAAAATAGATATCATGTAACTAAATTATTGAATAGAATTTGAACAACATATGCATATATGAGTTACCTTGAAGGCATGTCGCGCTTTACATCCCATCAGCTGCAGTGTACTCTGCAGAACAGGACGTGTATACCGAAACGACTCTTTCCCTTTGTCTTTCTTCTCACCTTCGTCCACCACCACCATGTACAGTATTTTCCCCACCTCAGCCATCACTGTAAATGATCCAGATTCAGCAATTTCATTCACGAAAAAATAAAATAACAGGATCGCACTCATGCAAAGAACAACAAGCAAAATCAGCACTAACTTTCACCGCGTGAAAAAGCCACTGGCGAACAAAAATGGCAAGGTAAAAATACTTTCCGACATTTATGCCGTGAGGTAACCGCATTGAAAGGAAAATGCAAAGAGAAAATAAAAAAATGCAACAACGGTGAGAGAGGATCACTCGACGGAAACCTGGAGGAAACGAAAGCGATCGAACGGAGTGTTGATGGATCAGAGAGAGAGAGAGAGAGAGAGAGAGAGAGACGACGTTAGGGTTTGTTGGAAGCGTTAGGATCCGCCATTCTGTTTCCGCGAGTGCGATTGGGAAATCTCAGCATTCTCGTTCACCTGTGTTTCACGCATCTCATTCTAACCTTCCAAACCCAAAGAAAAAAAGAAAAGAAGACCAACGAACTTCCCTCTCTTTAACGGCGCTTTCTCGCTCTAAAACAAAAAATGCAGGGTACGAAATGACGGATTTAGCCTTTGGAGTTAGAACTATACAGCAAAAGCGTGAAGGTGCGGTTTGGAATGGAACCCTAGGGAACCGTGTTCTTTGATTTTATACTTTATATTCCCGGGATGACCGCAACTGGGTCCCACGCACGGGGATCAAGGATGGCAGGCCCTGTGATTTTGCCTAAACTGAGGGGTCACTTTCCATCGTTAATCAACTATAATTGCTTGAGCTCGAGGTCCATGCGACGTGACATCAGATTTTAAAGGATTTTCTTTAGTTGTTGTTATCCTGTTTCTGAAAAGATATTTAGCTCCTTCTTTTCTTTATAAAGATATTTATTAAAGGGGATTAATTTTTTCATTTTACCTTTGAAAATTTTCTCATGCTAAATATTTAATAAATAAGTGGAGTCTACAAAAAAAATAAAGATGAAACTCACCTTCTTTTTTTTTTTGTAAATTGAAACTCACCTTTTAATTATGTGTGTAACATAAGAATCTTTTCTCATGTAAAATGAAAAAAGATTAACCCTTTATTAAATTGGAATTCCATAGGTAAAATATCAATTTAATTTCATTTTCTGAAAAAATGTCAACGTAATTTCAACAAAGATTTATCGCCTATTTTTCCTCGATGAAATTTTCAAAAGTTGACTTGCTATTTACGTAAATAAACGTGACAATAATAGTGTATTGAATTGAAATTATGTGTATCTTTATTTTGATATTTTTTAGGCTAAATATTTAATATTGTTATTTAATTACACAAGGAGATGATAGAGAGAAAATAGGATCAAGATCTTTTACACTTAATAAAAACGATTTTATTTCTCTTATATCATATAAGAAAAATTTTATTTCCTACACATAAAACAAATAACAAAAAATTATAATGTGTTAATCATAAAAAATAGTTTATTTTATAAGAAAATAAATTTAAATATAATTGCATTTTTATTTCCTACACATAAAACAAATAACAAAAAATTATAATGTGTTAATCATAAAAAATAGTTTATTTTATAAGAAAATAAATTTAAATATAATTGCATAAAAATGCAACATTAAATTTATAACAATATTTACCAAAAAAAAAAAAATTTCTAACAACACCTGCATGAGATTTTGCTGAACTCCATATGATCCCATTGGTAAAGAACAACTTCCGCGATGAGTCACACATATCGTAAGATGAACGCCACACACATCGTAACCACCCCCCCCCCCCCCCCCCCTTCCTTCAAAAGAATCTAATATATTATTGTAGGGATAAGATACTGTGACAATCAAATAATGTTACTACCAATGTTACTATCATATCTTAACTGTTGATTTCGTCAATCAACAGTTATCATTTTTCAAATCAAACTCATTAATTAATTATTAATTTGCAATAAATGATAACCGTTGATTGGCGGAAATCAACGGTTAAGATGTGGTAGTAACATTATTTGGTTGTCACAATATCCTATCCCATTATTATTGTATTACATAAATGGATTCTCTTATTTGAAAAAAAATGATTATATGAGAAGATCATGAATTTGGATTCTCTAATATAAAAAAGTGATTATGTGATCATGTTATTTGATCACAATCACTTGATTGATAATGAGATAAGAGAGAGAAAATTATATGATTTTTAAATAAGTGATTGTGATCAAATAACATGATCACATTACTACTTTTTCACATGAGAGAGTTTACTCCCGAAGATCATAATCATATCAATGGTTATAATTTTATAATTATCTATTTTAATTTTGGAATAGGTAGGATATTGTAACAACCAATTAGGGTTACTATATTAAATATGAGAAATCATAACTATACAAAGGTGGAAATAAATATAAAGTATTAAATATGGGGAATCATAACCATACAAAGATGAAAATAAATATAACCGTTGGATCAACATAATCGATTTTACGGTGAAATTGATTGGTAGTAACCTTAATTGGTTGTTACAATATCCTACCCCTTTAATTTTTTTCTCTTTTCCTTTATTAATATTGATCCATCTTTATATGATTATGATTTCTATATGACCATGTCATTTTTTTTTCACATGAGAGGATCTATATCCACCATCTTACCTATATCCCACCAATAAAAAAGGAACAGTGACTAATGTGACCACGTTTTTGGCATTTATATACATAACTGTCACGCTAACAGTAAAATTTAACAGACTATCATGCGAACAAGTATCCTATATGAAGGTAATTCTGTTCGGAACATATCCAAGATTAAGGTTTTAAATTCCTTCTAAAGATGATACTGGAGAAGATCGAACAGATGCTCTCATCTTCACCTACTCAGCTCCTATGCACTAACTAAGTTACCATCATTTGATGAAATTGTAAGTTTAAAACTCAATGCTACTATTGTTTTCAAAAATAAAATAAAATGAGGGTCATATTACCAAAAAATAAAATAAAATGGAGGTCAATATGACCTGACCATAGTAAGATAATAGAAACTTATTTGCATGACACAAATGTAATCTGATGCTTTGCTTATCAAATTTCGGGCCGTTACAGTCCCTTCTAGTTCTAATGATTGGGTTACGTTAGAAAATAAAAGAATTGTTTCATGTAATTTTGGTGAAAAGAAAAAAGTCAAAGAAACGGAGGGAAGAGGAAGGAATCCAAGCATTGTCTTCCGCTGAATCCAAGAATTGTTTCTAGCGTTGAATACACTGCTTTTTGGCCATTTTCTGACGAGTTTCAAAGAACTAATCGTCGTTAAATTTTATAACACACATTAGGAACAAAACCTATACAATAAACTTGAAGTATGATATGATGAAAGGACGCCTACGCAATAAACTTGAAAAGGACGTCCTTGCATATCCATTTTTCTCTTAATCCTTAAAAAAGTGAGCAGCTCGTGATTGCCTACTAAAATTTTAAAAAGGTACTGGAAGATGGAAATCGAAATAATTCAACTCAAAAATTTAAATTAAGTGAGATTTTTTAAATGATTTATACTATTTTTTAATATGTCCCCTCATACTAAGCCTATTAGACTTGAAGCTTAAAGAGTGAACAATGCACATGCTCACTTACTTGTACTAAAAAACTTCACAAGACTTGATTTCAACTCAAAAACTTAAATTATCAGTGATAGCATTTTCAATAACTTATAATAGGGTTCACTTTTTCTGCCGTTACTGCAGATAAGTTATCTACAGTAAATCTAATACGATGTCGTTTTGGGCAGAAATCATGGTATTTTTGTAATTTTAATTTATTTTAGGGTTATTATAATCTTTATAATTATAATTTTTTAATATTTCAATCCCAAAATGACATCATTTTGAAAATAAATATAAATAACTTATGTGCAGTAATTGCAGAAATATTTTTCTCATTATAATATTATCTAATACTACTGCCTCATCATTAATCTAGTGAAGGCATTAATTTGATACCGGTTAGTAGGGGTATTCATCAACCGATCCAAACCGATTCAAACCGCGGTGACCGAACCGAAAAACCGATAACCGAATAAACCAAAAATCGAAAAATCGAAAACCGATTAAAAACCGCAAATTTTAATTGGATTGGATCGGTTTTTGGATGGGTTGATGAAAACCGATCCAATCCAAACCGATCCAATATATTAATTTCCCTCTACCTGCTTGGGTATTTCCCTAATCATAGCCTAAAAATTTCTAAACCCAAGACCCATTAACCCATCAACTAAACCCAAGAAAAAATCTAGTCATATCTCATCAACAAAATTTTATCTTTGTAGAGCTTCATATCTCATTGCCAAAATTTAAAAAATTATATTATAGTTTACTAATGCTTTTGTATTTCAAAAAAAAAAATTACAAAGCCAATATATACAAAAGATATTATTTGTACAATAATCATGAAATAAATTTTAGGATTTTCAAAAAACCAAAAACTGATCCAATTTAAACCGAAAAAAATTGGATTGGATCGAATCGGATTTGAAAAAAAATCAAAACCGAAGGGATAATTATATGATCAAACCGAAGGGATTGGATCGGATGATTTTTGCTTCTAAAACTGATCCAATCCAAACCGCGAACACCCCTACCAGTTAGAGCAATGGCCTTTACCTCTAGCCATTGTCCACCATTGGTTGATACGGAATTTATTCTTAGCTGAAGTACTTACCTGCCTATTTTACTTTCGCAAGTCGAACTTGCATAACTTTTCTTTATCCCCCGATTTGGAAAATAAGAAGTGTCAAATAACGTAGCAACAAGAACCACGAAGCCCCAAACATTGACAAATCTAATGGAGGATATACGAAAAAGCAAGAAAGGTAGGTAGCCATAAAAGAGGAATTTTATTCCAAGACACTACATTAGCGGCTTTAATTTTAATGGATGTCCCTTCACTGTTTTTCTCTCTATTTTCATTTCTCTTAATGCACTAAAAGTTACTTATAAACATAAAGCGATAAACTAGCATCATGTCATCATATAACAGGTGAAAAACAAA